CCAGGTTAATGTAGTAAGGCAAATAATTACGCACGCAACATTCATAGGCCCATTAAAAAGAGAGATTCCGCAATGCTGAATCTATTAGCTTATCCAACGTTGCATCCTCTGATACATTGTGACAATAGTGACGCCAGACTTTGAAAACCATTAATTTGATGGGAAGGACGGATATTAGGCGGTTACACAACCCACTCTAGCCAGTGAAATATTATTACCAAAGGTCAGAAATGTTCTTGTCAGGGAAAACATTGAAAGTGGCAATTTGCATGCTTCATGTTTAAGAACAGTAAAAGCTATTTTGTCATATGTGAGGGGTAAGGCGAATTCTGCTTTTATGCCAAAATAAATTGACAAAGTATCAGTGCTTTTTACTGTGAGCATTATTTGAAATTTTAATGTGAACATGACCTATCCTTAATGGAATAATATTAAGAAAGAACAAAGAATATTTAAACCTACAATGATGTTTGTCATCAGGCCTGCTGCATCATCCTTTTCCCTTCCCAAATTACTGTTTAAGATCTCATGAAGATCTCATGAATACTACATCATCTTGATGCCAGTGTAGATATGGATATAGGAGGGCACATACAATAAAGATCCTCACTGTGCCTACAGCCTAGAGGCGACCACACTCCAAGGTATATGAAACAGAAGTTAGGACTCCGCACTTGTATACGGGCCAAGACAGCTTTATGAGACAAGGTTACATGTTTTGGTTCATAAAAGGTTACATGTTTTGGTTCATAAAAAAGCATTTTTCACTCTGTGCTGAAACAGTTCTACACCTTGTCCAATAATGCTTCTTTGGACCTCATACAAGTGCCCAGTCCTAATTTCTGTTTCATCATCTTGATGGCAGCAGCATCACCAAATTACAATTTTATTAATGCAGAGCAGTGCTGACATAAGAATTTTGTGCCCTTTAAAAAAAAATTAAAAAAAAATACCTGGACTCCCTACTCCATAAAGTCACACACTCCCCCCGGTATGTGCACACACATATACACATCCACACATACATACTCACAATGACAAGGTAATTCTCAGACACACACATACACCAATACACATTCCCAGACACATAGATTTCCATTCTCACATAAAGACACACGCTCACAGACAGGGCCGGACTGGGAGAAAAATTCGGCCCGGGCATTTTTTCACCACAGCGGCCCACTAAGAAGGGGGCGGGACAGAGGAGGTGTGTTTTGTCATCACCAATGACAAACATGCCCCCTCTCAAAGTGAGCATGTTGGTTCAATGCTCTTCCAGGGCAGACCATGCGCAGAACTCTGCTGAAGAGCTCCAGCATGAGAAAAAAGCCCTGTATTTGTTCTGCACAGTGCAAGCAAACGTAATAATATGCTTGCACTGTGTTTCCTTGCAACTTGTCTCTGGTGTCTCTATAAATGGATACCAGGAGACAAAAATGCCAGGAAAAGTATTGTGCATATGTATGGAGCCTGCTTGTGGTATTGCGTGTGTGTAGAGTGAGCTGATTGTGGTGTGGTATTGTGTAATAAGGTTGGTCATGTTGTGTTTGTGGTGTAATGTGATGCATATGTGGCTACGGGCTGTAGAGAATGTGTTTATAGGGGATATAGCAAGTGTGTGCATACAGGCTATAGTGTGTGTGTGTGTGTGTATATGTAGGTAATGTAGTGTGTGTTTAGGGGTGTAGTATTTGTTTGCTTACAAGGAATCTTGTGTGTGTATGTGTATATGTGTATGTATATATATATATATATATATATATATATATTTGGAAGTATTGTGTATGTGTGTGGTGCAGTGTGTTGGGGGGGTTCTGTGTGTATGTGAGGGGTGGAGTATGTGTGTGTGAGGGTGCGGTGTGTGATGTGTGTGCTGTGTGTGCTGTGTGAGAGAGAGTGCTGGGTGTGAGAGAGTGCTGTGTGTGATGGGTGTGAGAGAGTGCTGTGTGTGGTGGGTGTGAGAGAGTGCTGTGTGAGAGAGTGCTGTGTGTGATGGGTGTGAGAGAGTGCTGTGTAAGAAAGTGCTGTGTGTGATGGGTGTGAGAGAGTGCTGTGTGAGAGAGTGCTGTGTGTGATGGGTGTGAGAGAGTGCTGTGTGTGAGAGAGTGCTGTGTGTGCTGTTTGAGAGAGTGCTGTGTGTGCTGGGTGAGAGAGAGTGCTGTGGGGCTGGGTGAGAGAGAGGGGCGCTGGGTGTGAGAGAGTGCTGGGTGTGCTGGGTGAGAGTATGTTGGGTGCTGGGTGAGAGCGCCAGGTGGAGAGAGTGCTGGGTGTGGTGAGAGTGCTGTGTGTGATGAGTGTGGGAGAGGAGCAAGCTGTGTGAGAGAGTGCTGTGTGCATGGATGAGAGAGTGCTGTGTGAGAGTGCTGTGTGTGATATGTGTGAGAGAGTGCTGTATGTGATGGATGAGAGAGTGCTGTGTGAGAGAGTGCTGTGTGTGATGGGTGTGAGAGAGTGCTGTGTGAGAGAGTGCTGTGTGTGATGGATGAGAGAGTGCTGTGTGAGAGTGCTGTGTGTGATATGTGTGAGAGAGTGCTGTATGTGATGGGTGAGAGAGTGCTGTGTGAGAGAGTGCTGTGTGTGATGGGTG